TATATGACATATTCTGTATAAATATGTAGGAAAACGTGTCGAGCTCTATATACACATGCCCTACTTCTGTTGGAGAGGCGCCATTAAATATACATTTAACTATTGCATATAATTTACTATTTCTGTTAATAGTTTCAAACAACAGACAGGTCGACATAAAGTTCAAATCCAGTTCATTTAATGAGGACATATTTAGTGTAATAGGTGGTGACGTTTATTCAAGGCACAATAGGGTCGACCCAATCACTACTAAAAAAAACAGTTGACAAGGTTGTACAATAATAACAGTTAGATGTTTGCTGTAAAAACACATCTCCTTGATAATACATATTGTTTGTCAAATTATCGAAAATGTTTTGGGGTGATCAGATCGGCGTCCTAGATGTGGTGTACAGCATAGAAGAAAGGGAAATAAGGACAAAAGTGGTGAAAGAAAGAAGACATATAAGTAAGGGGACTGAAAGAGAGAAAAGGAGAAAGAGAGAGAGAGAGGGAGAGTGTGTGTGTGTGTGTGTCCGATTCACTTAAAATGCAACGAGGGGCAAGGAGTATAACCCCTCACGGCCTGGTCATTCGGCCCCTATAATTTTGACCATCTAGTACAACGTTTTCCAGCCGGGGTGCCGCTATACATCTATTGGGGTACCATGAAAGGAATTAGGTAATATATATATAAAAAGAAATGATGAAATAATGTTGAGTTAGTGAAAACCAAGGGTTAGAAACCGCGAGAGTATGTAATTTCACGAGGAAAAGGGTCACGACCCCCCCCCCCCAAAAAAATAAATAAATAAATAAATAAAAGTTGTTATTATATTAATATTCTTTTGTCAATAACGAAGAAAAAGCAAGCAGATTGAGTTCAAATGCACTCAGTATTTGATGAATACTGGGAAACGAGTCTGTCGTTAGATGCAAAGAATGATTAAGACAGTTTGACGTCGTGAGCTGGAGTAAGGATAGTCTCTACTCATACTCTGTTATGGCAAAAATGGTCCTCTAGTTTTTGGTTTTGTATATATTTCTTCATGATTGCCGACATTCACGCTCGCCGTTATAACCGCTGACATATTATACGAATATCATCTACAGAAGCTTCCATAATATATCGCCTGCATGGATTCTCTAGAATCAATACTTTTGACGACTCGGTCTTTCACTTCTTTTGGAATATTTTTCACACCAATGACACTAAACAAAGAACTATTTTCTGGAAATATTTGTCACGTTATTTATACTATTAGTTTATTCATTCTATCCCCTCTAAGAAAATATAGTACAATTGAACATGAAATTTGTAACATTATTTGAATGAACATGCTAACTGACATAATTTCATAATAATAATAATTGATAGGTTTTTATATCGTATAATACAGGGAAGTCTCTAAACTCTTTACAAAGATAATTAAGGAAGTTAATTAATCTACTAGGAACGAATCATAAACCTAGTAAGGAAGGTGAAACGTAACTTTAATGCATATCAAAATAACAAGATAAACTAAACTTAGTAGAAATCATGGTATATAATACATTGATTTCCTTTCTAACTCAAATTACTACTAGGAATTCTTAAAACTTCAATGGATATCGTACATTTTATGCAAATGCGACAAAGAATAGCTTTACAAGTTTATTTATATACACCAAAATTAAAAGTCTAACACAATAAAGTACACATAGCAAGTCTATAACATTAAATAATTAATCCTTAAATAAGTAAATTCAATTTGAATTGAACATGAAATTTATAACATAGGTGTGTTCTTATTCACATGGTTGGACTGTAGACTAAAATAACACGCCTCCCCCTTTTATTCAGAGGGTGTTCCTTGCTACTGGTATAGTGTAACGATGTAAAACATGATTTATAGTTTCAAGCTCGGTATCTATTTCACTGTCACGTTCACTCTGTTTACCTTTCAAGTGACATAGTACAGAATGACATGAATAAAGGAAATGACACTGTTAAAGGGAAAGGTGAGTTCTGTTGCAGAGGGCGCTACACTAAATAATTTTTTGTGAGATAATGAAAAACTGAGTGTCAAATTTGAAAGAACATAATATTTCAATGACAAAATCATCTTTGTTTGATCAAAATCGGTTCAGAGACGGCTGAAATATCCATAAATATAACGATTTCGTACCACCACAAATATTAGATATTTTGAAAAATTTGAAAAAAACCGTTGAAAAAACGAAATAACGGCTTTTACGTCGTATTTCAGCCAATACCGATATAAGGTTTTTTGTTGGCATTTTCGTGTTGCTTATATTACGCACAGCCAGCCGGCCCATGTATTGTTATTTTTAATTAAATAATTAATTAACGGTCACCGTGTTTTTTTTAAAGTGGAGCTGAATTGGTATGATCGTATTGGCTAAATTCACACAGTTTAGGGTCTAAAATTACCCTTTCATAGCAATTTTAAGTTCTAAAAGGGCACTAGAAATGTCATAGATAAGAATAAGAGCAATAACCATGCACTTTGAAGGCATTTGCGGTCTGAAAACAGAACTCAACTATCCCTTTAAGTCTTTTACCTTTTCTCAACAGATCCCGCATCTTTTTCGCTCTCTCTCTCTCTCTCTTCTCTTTGTCGTCTTCCCCAGCTTAATTGTCCCTTTATATTTTCTCTTTTTCTGAATTCATAATTGGCAAGTTTTGTTTATGCTTATTATGAATTTGAAGTACAATAATAATTATTATGTTAAACAATCCTTCTTCATTTCTTATCTCAATTTTTGTTCCTTGTCAATTTTCGTGAATGTATTGTATTCTTTTATACAATTTTGAACAATGCAATTATGTAAATGCTTAGCTTATCAGTCTTTGAATTGATTTACAAGGAATTTTGTTTCAATTAACCTAAGCCTTTGAGTGAACGAATGGATAACTGAATTAAAATGCAGTATAAGCAAAACAAAATAGAAAAACTTGGTTACGAGAAATTGAGGATATACAGAGAAAATTCGCCCAATTCACAATTTTAACGCACAGATCCAGTAAACAACTATGGATATACATGTATAAAAAAAATGAATGATGTTCTAAATGTCCTTGGAACAAAAAACAAACAAAAACAGAATTATGCCTTCACCATGATAACCAATAAATGAATTAAGTAAACAAACTTGGACAAATTGCATATACATAATACCTTGTATATTTCTAAACAAACGTTTTCGGATACATTGTAATAATTTGAGAACAATAATTTGCTAACGTTGCCACGACCATGAACATTTATATTAGAGAATCTTTTTAGTATTAGAAATAGCATTGGAAGGAGGCAGCTGCTCTTCCTCCATAATAGTGGGAATGCATGACTATGTATTATATTTGCAATGTATGCTTTCAGTCGATTAGAAGGTTTGCTACCCCTCCCCTCCCCGTCTTTGATCTTGATTATCTACCTACATCTTTACATAAAATAACCACCATTGGCAATAATGAGCGTAACGCCTTGATACTTTATGGACGTAAACGTTACAAAGTCTACTGTCGAGTGCATAATGAAATCAGTCAACATTTTGATAGCAGAATAATAGAGCGTCTAGACCTGATTTAAATTACATTTCGGCACAGGCTTACAAGCCACGGTCACTTACTGACAGGACTGTACGGGGGATTTTTAAAGTTCCGACATTCGGTGAACCATCATCAAAATTATTCGGGCAAAGAGGTGCCCCGAATTTCCTAATTATTGGGCAGCAAGGTACCCAAATACCATCCTATTGAGACAACGAGGTGCCTGAAAATATATTTGTATCTGGAGTATGTTGGTGACGATTATGAGCTGCGACAACAGAGTCCAGGCAATGGTAGATGCTATTTATGTAGTGCATTTTTCCACTTGACTAAATAATATTAAATGTTTGGGTTTTGTAAGTTGGTTAAACTCTACATTTCATCTGCAAAACTGAACTTTACTCCCATGTCTCATGAAAGATGTAAAGCCTATCCTTAGTGCAGAAAGCAATCTCTCCCGTCTTGAATGCTCGCAAATGGTACCAAGGGAATATACAGTTCATTTTGAAATCAGTGAGAATGTTTTTGATGTATTTGAGCTCGTTCGTGTACTGAACGATGCTCAACAGACCTTGATCTTCGTGAACCCATGCAATGATAACTGAACTATCCTGACACACAGCAGGGTAAGCGCTTTTACCATCCGGCGTGCTGATGCTATGAATGATAGCACCAGTCACATCGTTGATCACTTGTATCTCGAAACCGAAATTTTCAACGAGAATCGCTTGACTGGATGTCATCGCAAACATCTGCCATAGTGCAAATCTGTTGTACGATATCTCTCTAATTGCCTTCCCGCCTTCTGGCTTAAATACCTGTATTTTCTTGCATGAATTGTAACCTATGAAGATTAGCCCATCCTTGCCTACAGTGAGACCGCCAGATGTACCATTCACTTTGTCCATTGTCTCAAACGTTACATCAAGCTTTTCACTACGATCTGTGTACAGGAAAATTCTGTTATAGAAGTCGCGTATGACGTATCCAATATGGGGCATGCAGTCTAAAGCCGCACAGGAAACATTTTTCAGAAGGGTACCTTTCATGATGCCCTCAGAAGAATATATGAATATTCCTTCAGTTAATGTTGCAACAGCCATCTCATTGTTTGGTGATATTGCCATTCCCTTCACAGTACTTACAGCAGGCAGCGGATCTTCCGTGCGCAGAACCCATTTGGACTTCTTTTGTCTAATTAGCTGGCCTAAATGGAGTCCATCCGATCCCTGACTCCTGAAGCAAACTCTTTCACCTTCCTCAGCGGTTCTTCTGGGCAGTTCCTCATCGGGCCCAATCGGGCTTAGAAGTTCTTCCAGCTGTTCGCACGTTGCTCTATGTGACGTCAGAGCCTCTGTCTGGAGAGGGAAATTAAGACCATTCTTAACCGAATCCAGAGCTCTCTTAATCTGGTCTTTCTGCTTACGACCCGACTCCTCCATGTCTCCCAAAGAAGTCTCAAGTTTACCTAGCTCACGCCCAACCGCATTTTCCAGCATCGTCTTTCTTTTTTCAACGTCTGAACTGATTCCTCAAAAGTCTCATCTATTTCATCATTGAGTTGTTCCTGTACGTTACGCACCCTTTTACGCTGGTCTACAACAAATGTAACATACTTGTCCACCTCGCGTATCTTTGTACCCGCTTTAGATGCAAGTTCATCGATGTTATTCTTTTGCGCAGTTTCATGTTCTTCTGCTTCCATGATATTGTGGGCATTCATTGTATGCTCTAATGTGCCACATTTGAAGCAAACGTACTTGTTACAGTCGAGACAAAAGCATTCTTCGTCGTAGTTCGGATGTTTTTGACATTTGTTCCATTTTTTTTGCAACGGTGTGTCTTCTTGATAACAGTTGGATTGGCCCTGGGTCTCCACATCTTCAACAAGCGATCTGACTGTTATGTTTGATTGCAGTCTACCCATGTCTCCACCGGGAACGGAAGTCTCCTCCCTGCACATCGGACACGACAGCTTCCGACAAGACCCCAGGAGAGTCTCAAGACAACCCTTGCAGAAGGTATGAGAGCAGGTCAGGATCTTGGGGTCCCTGAAGAATCTCAGACAGACAGGACACTCCAGGTTCTTATGGAAAGCCTGCTTCGAGGAAGTAGCCATCGTTGACAACTCAAGCACACGACCTGCGGAAAAAAAACATCAGTGAATTAATTGACCGACTCAATCAAAAGTTTATATTTAGCTAGCTAGTATTGCACTGAAAATGTGAAACATAATGCCTGCAATGATTAATAGAGCCTATCCGGTACAACATTTTGAAATTACTTTAAGCATCTATACTTTAGAACTTACGTTACGAAGGAGCTCTAATGGCGACAATGCTTTCAATAAGAACTGTATGATGATGTTTCAGTCAGCAGTAACTCAAATTATAACCAGTTGTACGAGTATGACGAAAAATTGTTTGTTTTTCCTTATATAGAGCGGGGGAACGTTCACAATAGAAAATAGTATCATACTATTGGCTCGTGTGATCCTTTTGCTGAACCTAACCGTTCACCCACGCACCTGGCAGGGATCCTTCTCATTATAACAAGTTAACCCATTGTGTACAGGAACTAGGTGGCCCCTGTATTAAGACCTATGGGATGAGAGACTTCAGTAGTTAAGGGGTTAAATGAGTATGAGTTATTCCTTAGGAAGTGGGAATTCCCACTTATATTCACTGGATAGCACTGGTACTATATCCTGCACTGTTTGGTTAATTATTTGTATCAGTTACTTATGCCATACTCGAGTTATGCGTACCTGCATTTATTCAATGTAGGATAATTATGTACATTAAAACTCAACTTGAAATATCTAAGCACATGTATTTTGTTAGGAACGTCGTATTGCAGGCTGAATTAATCAGGCATATCTTGCCACTCTCATCCCACTTCTAGTTTCCTTTCCTCCATCTCCTTTTTTTTCCATTCTGATCTCTCACATCCAAATCTTCCTCTTGTTATGTTTGTTTCTCTTCTCTACCACCTCTCCCTCCCTCTTATTTTCCTTTTTACCTCAACTTTGTTCAATTCTTGCTCCTTTCATCTTTCGACTCTCGCTACAATTTCCTTGGTCTGTTTTTTTTCTCTCCTTCTTATCTCCGCTCCTATTACTTCTCTCTATTTACCTGCTTTGTTTTCTGGCTTCCTTGTCCATTTAATGTACTTTATTGGGCTTTGTTGTCTCTTACTATTGTGTGTTTTCTATATTTCCTGCTTACTTTGCCATGTACGTGTATTGCTGTATTAAATCATTAATATTTATGTTTTACAAAATATCATTAAAGGTAATACAAAGTTTTGGTATGGGGTCATGAATTTGGTTCAAATTAACATATTGGAAGCATATGCGTTCCTAAAATATTCATTGATCGCTGGCCCGGTTGAAATCGAGTCTAAAGTTATGAAATTATAAATAATAAACTCTTTATGTTGTATAGCTCCCTCTCAAGGTCAAAATATCAATTTAGCTATGAAACAATATTTCTTGACTAAGATCGCCCGATTAGCTATTCCCGTTTGGAAATTATATATCACAACGACATATTTGGAGATTTTCATGGTCGCAGCTACCATTGTACGGCCGTAGGCGCTATTTGAAATTTATCAAAATTTACCGGGAGCACCGGCAAATTTTTATATTCAATTTTTCTCGAAAACAGAAGTGTTTATGGGGATTAATTATTTTAGTGCTTATGATACATCCACAGGGGCATCCAAATATATCAACATTGTAAAGATTCACTATCCACCCAATTTTCAAAATTTCCCAAAACTTTGTATTACCTTTAATTTTCTGTTTTTTTTCCAATCATGAAAGTCCCTTCTTCCTTGGGACACTACTCACAATATATATTATGGATAGCATAATATCATAATTCCTCTAGAAAGAGAAGACCCTCCTGAGTCCTACCTTTTGAAGTAAAAAACATTTAGATAGTTTTTTTTGTTGGAACAAATAGGGAAGTTGCCCGGCTACATCACAATGACTTTCTTCCTCCACTTACGTTCCGTCAGAAAGTTAATTTATATTCTATATCTACCTTAATACAAAATAAATGACAAGTTTGAAACAGGATATTGGTGAACAGATTGGTACGGAGCAGTACTGGCTCTTGACTCTTCTTTATTTTTGTTTACACTTCTTCTTTTTACAAATTCTTCTTTCAATTTGATGGATAATAACACGACGTGTAATATAGACAGTAAACATGAGACACGTTTAAATATGTAGAACCAGGTAGGCTGTATTTAGGCGCCTACGGAAAGCATTACATGCGCACGAAATATATACATCAATTTTGTTAGGTGGAAGCTAATCGTGCGATTTATCTATATTTATTTATTTATTTATTTAGTTTTAAGGATAAACCTAGCGTAAATGGAAAACAAGGCGTCCAGTGCCTAGCTAGTGTTGGACACTAGTTTACGGAGGCCACGAACAACCCCCAATGTATTTGTTATTTTTTGGAGGAAACGTGGTTGCGACCAAGGGAACTGAACGAGGGCGCACTCCCTGTTCCTTGTTTATGAAAAAACCGTGCACCTACAATTATTTTGGATAAGAGTTTTGTAGGTGTCATGTAAACATACGTGTAAACTAGCGAAATTGTTGGCAGTATACTACGAATTTACGTGCTAGATAGTCAAATACGAATGATAGTGATTCAAATTCCGAGGCTCTGTGAAGGTATGAGGTCAGACTTGGCGTCGGGTTGTAAATAAGCGTTCCTGGCCTTTGTCGACTTCCATCGTCCGTGCCTCGAAATCAGAAAAGGTGAGACATTGGCGTTTAAGGCTGCAGTTGCCCCTCCTGACCTCATGCTGTGGAGACCGTAAGCTGAGATGTCAGTTACAAACGGCTTGATGGCGTCTAGTACTATTTCACGGGTACGGGTATAACTGAGAGGGTGAACGGTAGGAGTTAAACCTTTGGTAGATGAGCATAGTCTACGAAGGACAGGTAGAAGCGAGCCCGGAGGATCTCGAAGGGCTGCAAGATATCTCTCAGCTACACGAACTGGACATGATTGCTTGAATGATCTAGCGATAACGACATCAGACCCCTGTCTAAATTGGTCTGTTTTTGAGCTCGCGAGATGAATGACGAGACGATCAGATGTGAATGTGAGGTCGTTATTGGAAATATTTTTCAGATCATCAAATCTCAAGAAACCAGCATAAGAAATAAAGCACGCAAACAAAACCCGTAGATCTGCTAGAGAAGCATGGTCATGCCCGTATTTCTCGTAGATCTTCATCAGAATATTCGGGGTGATCGGATGCTTTCTTAGTGTCGGTGAAGATGTGGCGCGTTTGAAACCTTGCAGGGCGAGCTTGACCATTGGGTTATCGGTAGGAGAATGCAGACCTGCTAAGTTGTGGACCCACTTTATAGCTGCTGTCGCAGAGTCGGCAAGCGACTTCATGCCGGTTGTAGCCAAATGTGATATGTACAGAGATAAATGGAAGGATTGCACCGGGAAAACCGACACACCTTTTTTAGACGTGGCCCAATCCTCCCATCTTTTCCAAGAATGAAGGTATTGCTTGGTGGTTGAAGATGCCTTGGCAGTCATCAGGAGTGAAGGAAGATCATAGACTGCCAAGGCTTGTAATGATGGATCCTGGAGTGGCGAGGACAGCTTGCTCCATTCTTCTGCCAAATGGAAGATATAAAAAAGAAACAAAACAGCAAAACCGACAAAAATAGCGTGGTCGCATAAAAGGGCGACAACTTTTGACGATCATGATCATGACACAAATAATGATCGGTGTAAATAAATGCTATGCATTTGCTTCTTTAATATGATATATGTAATAGTTTTAAAAGGGAAGTTATTTTGGGATGGGAGGGTAACAGAGCTCTGACTGCATAACCGAGAATGAGCGTGTAAGCTCGAATCTCGAATAACGAGAATGCATATAACAAAAGATTACATAATGCAGCTGTTCGCGAAGGTATGCGTTCGATAACGAACATAAATTCCACTTTCTTCCTCCACTTACGTTCCGTCAGAAAGTTAATTTATATTCTATATCTACCTTAATACAAAATAAATGACAAGTTTGAAACAGGATATTGGTGAACAGATTGGTACGGAGCAGTACTGGCTCTTGAGAAAACGCCAAAGAAAGTTGGAGAAGACGGGTAAAGAGTGACACTGACGCTTGTACATCTGTCTGCATTAAATCAATATTGCATACCAAATGATGCATTGAAACGATTTATGCATACCAAATGATGCATTGACAATTTATGCATACCAAATGATGCGTTAAACTATTTTTTTTTTTTTTTTTTTTAAATTTGTTTATGCCAAATGATGCATTAAATCAATGTTGCATACCAAATGATGCGTTAAAACGATGTTTACATGCCAAATGATGCATTAACAATTTTTGCATGCCAAATGATGCATCCATGAAACAATGAACTAAAACAAAGGTGCATGTCAAATGACGCATTAAACAAAATAGCATACCTAATGATACATTTTAGACACATGTTGAACAGTATCCCATTTCCGTACAACAAAATCCCCGATTATTCTGTCGGGGTGGACGTTTATAGTCGAAACGGAGAGCTAAGGAAAGAAAAGAAGGGTTCTCATTAAAAACGGTTGCGACTCCTAAAGAAGATGGGTGAAAGGAAATGTTAAGAAGCCTCCAATCGTGCACGTGAGGGTCCAAATGAGATCCGTCTGGACAGACAATCGGCCAAAAGTAAGAAGAAGGCCACTTAGGGATGATCAAGGTCGCGGTGGCACCATCTGATGCTAAGCGCTTGATGACCTGTGAGATAAGGCATACGGGTGGACAAATATAATTGTTATCAAAGTGCCAGTCCTGGCAGAAGGCGTCCACACCGGAAGTACCCCTGCACCAAAATCTGGAGTTAAAGGTTAAGACTTTCTTATTTTGAGGCGAGGCGAATCTGTCCACAGTATGAGGTCCCCACAAGGAGTCGATGACTGAAAAGGAAACTTCATCGATTTCCCAATCATCATAGTCTTGGTATTTACTTATTTTATCGGCTATTTTGTTCTCGCTCCTAGGCAACCATTCTGGATATATGACGATATTATGAGTTTGGCACAAATCGAAAATTGCAAGAGCAATGTCATGAAGGTCTGGCTTGACACTCCCGTTCTTGATAATGCGTGGGACATTTGCATTGTCTGTCATCCACTTGAGCTTTTGATTTTGGAAAAGAGAATGGCCTTCAGAAATTATTCGAAGTACGGCGGCCAGTTCGCGCCAAGTAGAACTTTTGAGCGACTCTGCGCGAGTCCACTTTCCGTGGAAACGCGTGTGAGTGTTGTCCTGTACGTAGCCTCCGTAACCGGTATCGCTAGCGTCTGAAAAAACTAGCGCAGATGGGGCTAAACAAAATTTAAAAGGAAAACCATTAAACTCTGTAATATTCTTCGTCCAAAAATGCAGTTCTTTGATTACGGGATCGGGTAGCATTATGGAATCTGACCAAAGCGCACGTGATTCGATTGCGCGATACGAGGCGCGTGTCTTGAGCCTACATATAGGACCGAGTGCGAGAGACATTGAGATGATTTGTCCCGCGAATGAAGCCAAATTCTTTATAGGTACTGGTCGTGCTGACTGTGTCAAAGAAACAATCGCTTCGATGCTGAGCAGCAATTTGTTGATCTTAGATTGTGGTACAAAAAATCGCTCTGCTATTGAATCTAGAACGAGACCTAGATATTGGATTTGATTTGTGGGTTCCCATTTGCATTTTGTCTTGCTGGGGACAAACCCGCTGCGGGTAAGGGTGTCGCGCACTAAGGTCATGCTCGATAGAGCCGAACTGAGGCTTGGGGAAATGACGAGACCGTCGTCGATATAAACGAAGGAAATAATGCCGCGGGCGCGCCAGTAATAGACTAATGGTCTAGTTAGCTTGGTAAACAAGTAACATGCGCTGTTGAGGCCAAAAGGTAGAACCGTGAATATGTAATATCTAACGATTGAATCATTATGAACCCAGGAGAAGCCTAAGTATTGCTGGTGTGGGGGGAAGATATCGACGTGATGATATCCGGATTCCAGATCGAAAGAGAAATAAAATTGGTTTGGACCGAGTACTTGTGAAATGTGGGGTAAATCTTCATACTTGAATTTAAACTTCTTAACATATTTATTTGGGTGGCGTAGGTCCAGAACCAATCGTAACTTTTTGCCTTCAGCGACTGTTAATGGATTGCAGCATGTGGGACGTGATTTTACTTCGACGACGCACTGTCTTTTCAACAAATCGGCAATGGCCGTCTCAACAAACTCAGAATGATTCAAACTCGATCTGTTATTCTTTGCATAAAACTGAGGGGGAAATATGTCAAAAGGTAACTTATAGCCTTCATTGATAATATCAAGAATAAATGGTGTGGCTTTAAGCTCAGACTTCCAAAAATTATAAGATCGTTTAAGTCTACCTTTGACTCCTGGTGGTAGCTTCACTCTAAAGGGTTCCTTGGGTGACGCCTGGGGGCCCTGGTTGCTGGCGTAATGGCTGTCGACTGGCTCTGATAGCTGGACAACTGGTACGGACGTGACCGGCGATGCCGCACTGGAAGCAGACACGGTTATCGTAGCGGCGCTGAAAATTTGGTGTGAAGGTGGCCGGGAAGCGGCGAAAAGAACCAACAGGGCGTTGAGCAGGGCGAGGATATGGGCGGGGCCTTCCCCGGGTCGACCTTTTGGCCGAAGATTCCGCTCTTTTTGCAGAAGCGGCTTTCTCCGCCTAGACAAAGAAAGGTAGCATGAATTAATAAATACGCTCGGATATTTTGTGATACATAATATATAATCGATATCTAATACTGTGTGCAAATAAGAGACTGCTTTCCGCATAATATACAATCGGTTATAATTAAATGATATAACCGTTATTTCTAATCGTTCATTCATTTCATTGTGAACAAATTATGTAAGTGAATTCGAGGACAATTTAATGGAAAAATTACGTATTACCTTTCGAAGACGCTTCTCATCGCCGGAGTCGTCGGCAAGTTCATCGGCGACATATTCGTTTACAGTTGACCATCCGAGTGGCGACCGGTCAGCGATTCTTATCAGCTTTTGCCTGTCATTAAGTTCTCGGAGTGCTTCCTTCAGGGTTAGCGCTGTCGTGTCAAAATCCCCCTGCTCGTTTAGGGCGATGCCTCTCTCAATCAATCTTTCGACCTTTTTAGAGTGTTCAAACTGTTGTTTGTTCCCTTCGCTCTTGAATGCTGGGATGGGTTTGGGTTGTTGAACCGTCGATGTGCAGGTGTCAACCCGGCGCTGTAAGGCGTGGATGGCCGACAGGATTTCTTCGTTCGAGGCGGCGGGAATTTCGTCCATATCGTTATGGGTGTGGCAGTTAGCTTGAAGTACTTGTTAGGCCTATAAGTATAAGAACCGAGAGCTCTGACTGCATAACCGAGAATGAGCGTGTAAGCTCGAATCTCGAATAACGAGAATGCATATAACAAAAGATTACATAATGCAGCTGTTCGCGAAGGTATGCGTTCGATAACGAACATAAATTCCACATTACCGATTCTCCCAATTTGAAGTTCCATTACTATACAATTTTCAACGGGTATCCGGACACCTACCCACTGCACTTCCACCCCCGGATACCCACCCCAAGTCAACTACCCCTTGGACAACTACCCCCTAGGGCAACAACCCTCTAGGACGACTATTCCCCCCCCCCCGGGACAACTATCCCCCGGACAACTACCCCCTGACAACTACCCACCAGACAACTACCCCTAGGACAACTACCCCCGGACAACTACCCCTAGGATAGTTGTCCGGGGGTAGTTGTTAAAGAGGATGGTTGTCGTAATGGGGTAGTTGACTGGGGGTGGTTATCCGGGGATGGATGTCAAGGGAGTAGGTGAACTAGAAATTTTTCAACAATATTTTATAATTTATTCATTGTCCGATTTCGTTCAAAGTTTCACCAGTGTGCTTCTCAGGATGTTCTGCTTTCTATTGGATTAGCTTGATATTAGAATAAGCGACTCCCTGGGTAATTTTGGCCAGAGTAGGGTAAGTCAATATTCTTTTGTCAATGATGAAGAAAAAGCACGCAGATTGTGTTTAAAGGCACTCAGTATTTGATGAAAACTCGAAAACGAGTCTGTTTTTAGATGCAAAGAATGCTTAAGACAGTTTGACGTCGTGAGCTGGAGTAAGGGCAATCTTTACTCATACTTTGTCATAGCAAAAATGGTCCTCTAGTATTTTGTTTTGTATATGTTTCTTATGAGTGCTGACATTCACGCTTGCCGTTATACCCGCCCACATATCGTAAGAATATCATCAACAAAAGCTTCTATATACCTCCTGCATGAATTCTCTAGAATCAATACTTTTGATGACTCGCTCTTTCACTTCTTTTGGATTTTTTTTCTCACGCAAATGACACTAAACAAAGAACTTCTGGAAATATTAGTGGCGTAATTCATACTTTTTGTTTTTTTATTCTATCCCCTCTAAGAAAATATAGTTGAATTGAACACAAAATTTGTAACATAATTTGAATGGAACATGCTAACTGACATAATTTCATAATAATAATAATTAATAGGCCTTTATATCGCATAATACAGGGATGTCTCTAAACTCTTTACAAAGATGATTAAGAAAGTTGAATAATTTACTATGAACGAATCGTAAACGTAGTAAGGAAGGCGAAAATTAACTTTAATGCAAATCAGAATAACAAGATAACTAAACTTAGTAGAAATCATGGAATACAATATATTGATTTCTTTTCTAACTCAAATTACTACTAGGAATTTTTAAAACTTCAATGGATATCGTACATTTTATGCGAATGCGACAAATAATAGTTTTTATATACAAGTTTCTTTATATACACCAAAATTAAAAGTCTAACAAAATAAAGTACACATAGCAAGTCTATTAATCCTTAAATGAGTAAATTCAATTTGAATTGAACATGAAATTTCTAACACAGGTGTGTTCTTTTTCACATGGTTGGACTGTAGACTAAAATAACATTTCCCACCCCCTTTATTTAGAGGGGGTTCCTTGTTACCGGGATAGTGTGACGGTTTAACAATTATGTATAGTTTCAAGCTAAATCATCGGTATCCATTTCACTGTCACGTTCACTCTGTTTACCTTTCAACTGACATAGTACAGAATGACATGAATAAATGAAATGACTCTGTTAAATCTTTTACCTTTCCTTAATAGATCCCTCATCCTTCTCTCTCTCTCTCGCTCTCCTCTTTGTCGTCTTTCCCAGCTTGTCCCTTTACATTTTCTCCCTTTCTGTCCTCTGGCGATTTTTGTTTATGCTTATTATGAGTTTGAGGTACAAAAATGATGTTAAACAATTCTTCTTCATTTCTAATCCCAATTTTTGTTCCTTGTCAATTTCGGTGGATGTACTGTATTCTTTTATATAATTTTGAACAATGCAATTATGTAAATGTTTAGTGTATCAGTTTTTGGACTGATTTACAAGGAATTTTCAATCAATAAACCTAAGCCTATGAGTGAACGAATGAATAACTGAATTATAAATGCATTGTAAGCAAAACAAAATAGAAGAACTTGGGTACGAGAAATTAAGGATATACAGAGAAAATTCACCCAATTCACAATTTTAACGCACAGATCCAGTAAACAACTATGGACATATAAGTATTAAAAAAAGAATGATGTTCTAAATGTCCTTGGAACAAAAAACAAACAAAAATAGAATTATGCCTTCACCATGCTAACCATTATTATGAATTAAGTTAACAAACTTGGACAAATTGCATATCCATATACTTTGCATATTTTTCAACAAACGTTTTATAAAATGATTACATTGGCACCAGCATGAGTATTACAGAATCTTATCGGTATGACAAATAGTATTGGAAGGAGGCAGCTGCACAGCCCCCATATTAGCGGGAATGCCTGTGTATTCTATTTGCCATGTACCCCCATCCCCTTCCCATTTCCGTCTTTGATTTTGATTATCTTCCTACATCTGTCTCCAAAATAACCGTTACCGCCATTTACAATAATGAGAGCAACGCCTTGACACTTCATGGACGAAGTACGGCGGCATAATGAAATCGGTTAACATTATATTAGCATTATAACAGAGCGGAGTATAGACCAACTATTTGATAAAGTAATCGGGTAAAAAGCGAGCTTTCGATTTAGGCACCCGACGTCGGCTACTACGAGTTAGAGCGTGGAGACGTTGCGCAGCTCAAGTCCGTTCCCTTCGAGGCACGACGGCGCTTTCGTCGGTCACGTGACCATTTTTTGAGATCAGGTGATTAAATCAAGTAATAAATTCACAGTGAGCGAAAATCTGATACGAAGAATAACGTAAGGATGACAGAAATAGAAAGTAAGAATGATACAACAATAAATAACACAAGAAAAGGTGATAGAAGAATAAACAAAGGATAGCAAGAAGAAAAACAGAAAGAGAAGTTGATAGATGGATCATGGAAGAAACAAAGAATTCATAAGGAAAGACAGAAAGAGAAAGTGATAGAATTATAAAACAAAGTATAACATAAGGAAAGACTGACAGAAAGAGAAAGTGATAGAAATGATAAAAACGAAGAATAACATAAGAGAAGGTGATAAAAGGAAGAAACAAAGAATAACATAATGAAAGATAGAGAGAGAAAGTGATATAATGATAAAAACAAAGAATAATATAAAAAAGGTGATCGAAGGAAGGAACAAAGAATAACATAAGGAAAGATAGAAAGAGGAAGTGATATAATGATAAAACAAAGAATAACATAAGGAAAGACAGAAAGAGAAAGTGATAGAATGAGAAAAAAAAGGAATAACATAAGAGATTGTGATAGAAGGAAGAAACAAAGAATAACATAAAGAAAGATAGAAAGTGGAAGTGATATAATGATAAAAACAAAGACTAACATAAGAGAAGGTAATGGAAGGAAGAAACAAAGAATAAAATAAGGAAAGACAGAAAGAGATAGAAATGATAAAACAAACTATAACATAAGAAAAGGTGATAGAAAAAGAAACAAAAGATAGCAAGAGGAAATAATAGAATAATTAAAACAAAGAATAACATTACAGAAGGTGATGAAACTGCACTCAGGTTGACTTTTTCACGGCGACGGGGATTCACGGAAATTGCCCCCGACTCCCGTTGTGTCATCTGGAGGGTGTTTCACAAAGATCCTAAGTTGAACTTATCTCTAAGTTGGACTAACAATTATGGAAAGCCGTTAGCATCATTGAAAATATTTTGTAAAAGTTATTTTAAAAGGAATAAAATGCTGATTCAAACATTCATATTGTCTATTATCAAGGAGATTTCATGTTCTTGATGTAAAGTCAATGAAAAGTCTAAAATACTTCAAATTATTTTTGCAAATATTTAATTTTAAGGCTACAAATGGCACTCCATAATTTTTAAGTCCAACTTAGAGTTAAGTTCGACTTAGGATCTTTGTGAAACACCCCCCAGGAAGGGAACGTGGGCCCAGAAGCTCACGCATGCGCAGGGGATAAATATGACGTCACGCTAAAATCGAAAGCTCGCTAATACGACTACGGACAACGAAACCGAAGCGTGAGGCGAACTTCGGTCCATTTCGCGAACACTGACCATGTAGAGATTACGTCGCTGACTACTGTTAATCAAGTTCATTCGTTTACGTGCAGTTGTCCAAATAAAGACGGAGATGAAATTAATCATTATTTGCCAAGCTACACTCCCTTTAAGTTTGGCTGGAATCCATTAACCGGTTCTTGGGATAACGCGATCACGAAAAGGGGACAGGACGTACGGTCGTATACGGGCATACGTACGGACGTGCGGACAACCCGAAGACATAATGCCTCTGGCTCCTTTGTAGCGGAGGCATAAAAAGCAAATGAAACTGACCTTGTTTTCTGAGTACCATTGCATTTACCCTCCAAACCTTTTAACCCCTCCAATTTGACATTACTTCACTTATGTTCTTGTAATTGTTCTTCTTTATATTGTGCTTATTGCTGTCTTTTGTGGAATCTTTAACTAATATATATACTCAGTAATATAAATTATAATATTCAGGGAACTTTTTTTTTCAATTATTCTCCTATTTCATTTGAAGTTATTGTATAAACTGAACATTCTCTGCCTCAGTATGTATATATATACTTGCAGGGGCGTCGCTAAAGGGGGGGGGGGGGGTGGTGGGGTGCGACACTCCCACCTGTCAGGATATTGTCGGTAAAAAGTGCGAACAAATGAGAAAAGGGGGATGGAAAAGAAACGAAAGGAAGGAGAGATAAAAAAGGAAAGGAAAAGAACCAAAAAAAGGGAAAAGAAAAGAAAAGAAAGGAAAGAGAGGAAAAGAAAGGAAAGAAAAGAAAAGAAAAAAAGGAAAAAAAATAAGAAGAGGAAGGAGAGGAAAGGGAGGAAGGAAGGGAAGCGGGACATGAATGAGAGGAGAGAGAGGGGGTAAGAGCCTGAGAGAAGAGGAGTGGGTGTAAGAGAGAGAGGGGGATGTTGGGTGGAGTC